TATCAAAACAGGATATATATTTATGTGACATAAGTTGTCCTTACAGAGCCCCAACCCCTGCTGGCCCCAGGTTCTTCTCTAAGTTCTCAAGACAGCTTCTTAATCTTGAAATTTACCAGGAACCCACAACAAATTTACTGACTTGCACCAAAGACCACTTTCCTCCCTTTTGAAAACTAGGACACTACCTGACAACAATTCCACATTCTTTTGCACTCATGTAGCAGAGATCACTGAAGACTAGTTATAGCGCAATAAACCTGTTAAAATGACCTGAAAGATTATCTTTAAAAAGAAAGAAACAAATGCAGGTAAAGTCTAACATCTAACTTGTCATTTTGATATTATTCTGGCACAAACCTATGTGCGACTAGTCATAGTTGATATCCTTTTCCTGGGCAATAATAATCAAATATTAAATCAATTAAATATATATGTAAATACACATTACTCGAACATAAGTAAACACTTATATACACATATATACCATTTATACACACATCTATATACATATGCCATATGTATGCGTATATAGTGTTTGTCTATGTATATATTATATACACTCTATAATAGTAACATCAAGTTATAACTGAATAAGGAACTTGGCGGAGGGGGATAGAGTAGAGTGGGAATATGGATCCCTAGAACATTTTCTTCATAACATTTTCCTCAATGTTGGACCTTCAAACAGCCACAAAGAATTATCCAGTGCCTACTGGATGTTATGCAATTGTTCTCTTTCACAGATATTGTTTTTCATTTTTTCATTTTTTTATTTTTGTTTTTTTCAAATTATAAGAGAAAGTTTATTTAGAAAGTTACTGAGGTAGTAGCAGTGACTCAGCGGGGCTGCTGAGGCTCAGGAAAGAAGTTACAGAAGCAAAAGGGTCCTTGGAGCTTGGGAAAGGGAAAGGTGCCTGGTGGGGAGAAGTGGAGGATGGGAAACCCAACAGCTCCTGCTTTGCACAAAGCACTCAGGCTCATTTGACGTGGCCTCAAATTAACTTGTTACTGCTACAATCATATTTAGTAGTTAAGCATTTTTTAATAAAGAAAAACGGGTCAGGTTTGCCACAGAAGAGATGAGTTGAAAGTATGGGCCAAATTATTTGGCAGGATCCAAACACCTGGCCACCACAAATGATTAATGTATTTCTAATGAGCTCTGGATTCAGCCCAAGATGAAGATGCGTATCTCATTAAGTAGAATTTCCTAGAGTTTTCTTAAAGGATCACAAATGTTTAACATTAGCATGAAGGAGTAAGCCATAAAAACAACTTTATTTTTTCCTGAACAGAAATGCTAGTTGCAAATCAGTCTTAGAAAATTTACCATTTTTTTAAAACAGCAGCTGGACCTGTTTAATGTGAGAATGGATTCTTACAACTCCTGTTGTCTGGAGTGTCAGGCAGAGGCTGAAGTGGCCTGGGAGCCTGCAGTGGTGTACATAGTCCTCCCAACTGTAGGACCAGACGACAGCTACTGGAGGCAGACTGCGGAGGAGAAAGGCAAGGAGCACCACCTGATTTCTTTGGAAAATGTATACTCCGTGATGTATACAGCAAATTGGGATCAGGACCCACAAGGACTCTATCTCCAAAGTGTTCATTGGATTAACAATTACAGTTGACTCTTGAACAACATGGGTTAGAACTGTGTCGGTCCACTAATATGTGAATTCTTTAAAAATAAATATACAGTTGAAAACAACATTTTTAATCCATGGTTGCAAATCCACAGGTTCAGAGGGCCGACTGTATGCACAGTTTTACGTCATTTTAAAAAAGGGACTTAAGGACCCAAATATTTTGGTATGTGGGGGGACAATTGTAGTTACATTTTGGGGGAATCTAAAACCAGATTTTCCCCTGTTCAGGGTCAACTGGCCGGGTCAGGGCTGGAACTCACAGGTCTGTGCTCACTGCCACCATGGAGCAAATAGACTGGGGCCTGGGAAGGGCTAGTTGTAGACAGGCTCCCAGGGAGAAATAGCCAGGTCAGGGCTATTTCTAGCACCACACACCAAAGAAAGAGGCTGCTCTAGTGACTGCTGAGGCTGGCAGAAATGGAAGGAAAAAGGAAGCAGCTGGACAGATGTTCCTTCCAATTTGACCATAGTGTTGGAATCTTCTGGCTGACCAACAGGCAGAGAAGCAAGTGCACGAGGAAGGCATCGTGGTAGTGGGCACCCGCAGGCCCCTCCACGTCCTGAGTCTGACTCCAGGTAAGCCATCTCGCACTGCAGAGGACCCCCTCCTTGCATGCTTCTCTCAGGGCCTTAACCTGCCACTATAATCACTTCTGCAGCTCCTTCTCTCAGAAGGACAGATGCTGGCCCACCAGCACTTCATCAGGGATTAAACCCTAGCACCCAATACAGTCATTCACATTAGGAAGCACTGTGTGTACCCCCATTTCCAGGAGCCAGGTAGGGTCCCTATGCTGACCCGGAGACTTTGTGAGGGTCACCCAACAGCCCATGAGCACAGAAACAATGACTGCTGCAGAGAGACAGCTGGGAACAAAAGACAGCTTCTGTCTTTAAAGTCATCCCCATTTAACACACGGGGAGGCAAGCTGAAAACCCAACTTCCACCTGCACCTCGAGAAGGCCAATGAAAGGACAAATCGCACGGGGTATGTAGCTCCCAGCGCCCGGGCTGGGAGCAGGGACGAGGTCTCTGCCCTCCTCCCCACACACTCTGTGCAGCCTCCAGGTTCTGGGCAACAAGTAGGGGCCTGAATGAGACCCTGAATTTGAGCTCTGAAATCCCAAGAGCTTCAGGAAAAATCAATTACAGCGATAAAACAGGTCCATACAAGGGGTGGAAGAGCAAGGGGCGCAGGGGCATATTCATATTCCTGTCCGGCTCCTCCCTCCAGAAAAACCCAGAGCCTACCCAAAAACAAGGACCGGGTCTCAAATCTTCCCCAAACACACACCCACTCTCTCCTCACACGCCACAGCATCCACGCCCTGAACCCCAAGCTCGGGCACATCTGCCCACACACGTTCACACGTGTGCACCAGCCTCCCCACACTTGCACACCTGTCCTGTATTTGACAGAAATTTGACACTATTCCTCCCCATGCATTCCTGCCCCCGCACACGCTCCGGCCAGTTTACAAACCCCCAGGCGCCCACCCGCTCCCCCTCCCCCCACCGGTCCCCGCCCTCCAGCCCCGCTTTCCGTGCGCTCTCGGTCGCGCCCCACGGTACTGCAGCCCACCGCCCTCTGCACTCACCGGCGCGGCGCCCTCTGGCCTCCGTGGTCCCGCTGGCCCTGCGGCCTGGGCCCCGCGCCGCCGGCCACCCGCTCCCGGCCGCGGCTCTTGGGCTGGTCCGGTCGCGCCGCCGCAGCCGCTTCCCGTCACGTGGGGCGGCCGCCCTGCGCCGGGAGGGCGGGAGCCCGTGTGTCCCTGCGCCGTCGCCCAGGGCCCCAGCCGCCTCCAGGGCGCCTGTGGGGGTTAGAAATTTTGTTCGCAGCCCAGCAACCAATGGAGTGCCCCTCTTCGCCTCAGTTTCCTCCTTTCTAAGGGATCACAACAGTGCTTGTCTTGTAGGGCGGTCGTGGGGGTAAATGACTAAATTGCTGTAAAGCACCGAGAACACTGGCACAGAGTAGGTGTTCATGAAGTGTTCGCGATGACTGCTTAGTGTATTTTCTCCTTCCCCACCGACAATGTACAGCTTCATGAAAACATGGGCTATCTCTGATTTGCTCGCTACTCTTACTTTTAACACCACAAGTTAGACGTACTGTAGGCACCCGGGGAATACCTGCTGAATGAATGAACCGACCGACTGACCGACCAACCAACCAATCAATCCTGGGAAAATCTTAACCACTCTGTCTCTACGTCAACTTGAGATGTTAACTTGGGGGTGGTATTCCCCACGACACTGAAAAGTAGTGTTGAGCAGCTAATCGCTGACTGGGCGGGGCCTAAAATCCAAGGGTCTCACCGCAGAGCTGACACCTACAGACTGCCAGACCCTGGGCTAAGGGCCTTCCGGCAATGATCTCATTTAAGTCTACCTTTGTCCTTAAGAAGTAAGCGCTATTAATCTATCCATTTTACAGTTGAGCTGACTAAGGCAAAAAGAAGCTAAAGACTTATCCCAAATTCCATGGTTGTAAGAACAGAGCAAGAACCCAGAATTCAAAACCAGTGAATTTTATGTATACATAAACTTAAGTTCTATTGATTGGCTTATGGAACATTTGTGTTGTTTTAAAAGCGTGTGTTTACAAAAACAAGAGGAAAAAAGATAATTCAGAAATAATTATTTCCTTTATGAAAGGCTTTACCATAGGATTCTTAAAATGGCAAGCTCCACATGTGCACATTATCCCATCTAGAAACATTCGTTCTTCTTGGAACTACCTGAGAAGTCTCTTTAACATATGGCAGGAACCTATATGTAAATAATTATTCCATAACGTTGGAAATATCTGCATCAGGGCTAATTCTAAATTCTTCATGTTATAAGTCATGTTTTTCAAAGGAATTTTTAATTAACTTTTTATTGGTATTTATTAAATGTCCCTTGGGTTCATACTAAACACGTTTTGAGTATTTTATGGAATGTGAAAAAGATGTATTCTAATAGATTATTGAAGATTAAGAGATGAATAGACACAAATGAATGCTTTTAATAGTTGCCATCTACTCTCAAAACATAACATCCTCATATTCACACATACATTTAAGGCTCCTTACTGGCTGTAAGCTCTTAAGGATGAGTGTGTCTATCAAGTTCTTGCTGTGTCTCTCTGCACGCAGGAAGCACTTAACCAATATTTAAAATTCCTGATCTTCAAAATTAATAAATTAGGCTATCTTTAAAAGTCTTTTAATGTTAAGATTATTTTATAAGCTGTCTTGTTAAAAGTAGACATCTAGTTTGCACATCAGTTTAGAAGAGATTAAGCAAATAAGGTTATGTTTATTTTTTTAGCAAACATAGTTTACTAAAGGCCATGTTTTCAGAGCTTTTATGGCATTAGCTCATTTAATGATATATACACGTATCCATATACTTGTCATCTAGGTTGAGTGAAATAAGCTTTTTCAACTGTTACTCAAATCAACCATTTCTTGAGCAGCTTCTATGTGCCAGGTACTATGGCAGAGGTTGTCAAGTAGGAGACAACAGATCTTTGCATTACTGGTCCCCACAAGGATTCTCAGATGTTCTTCGTCCACTCTGGTGTTGGTTCTCAGTCTTGCCACTCCAATTGTGGTGACTGCCTGGCTTGAGGGTAGAGGACGTCTGTGGCTTCCTTGCCCTGTGATGTGGTAGAAATCTGTGAGATGGCCCTGCTGCCTAGAAATATTTGAAACATCACCTCAGAACTTGTTAGAAATGCAAATTCTCCCCCATCCCAAACTCCTACCTCAGAAACACTGATTAAAACAGGCAGCAGACTGCAGGATTCTGAGGCTCCACTCTCCAAGGCTCTTTCAAGGACGGAGTCAGGGGGAGGCATTCCTAGACCCCTCTTCCTTTGTAGAGGGGTTGGAGGGTTGGTATTACAATCTCATTCTACTTCATCCTCTCTGAATCTGATTAATTTTTTTTTCTGCCTCAGATGACATTCTCTCTACCCTGAGATTTTAGCTTCGGAGACACTTAGAATTATCTTAATGGATTTAGTTTTAAGCAGGGAAGTACTTTTAGTTTTAAACTGGAAAGTAATGGAAGAAAAAAAAAATCACAGGTCTTATCTGCCACAAAACGTTTTTGCTGATGAAGAGCTTGAGGTTTCAGGTTAGGTGGCTGGTCCAGAAAACCACAGCAAGAACCTGTAACTACATTTTCAGACTCTTAACCTCAAGTTTCCTTTTTTCCCCCACCTCTACCACCATCCTTCCACTTCTCTCCTTTGATAATAGGTTACAACAAATCTCCAGGTAAATGCAACAGTGGAGGCACTGCACCGTTCATACTTTAGCTCTCATCTCACTTTATGAGAGGTTATTATGATTTCCATTTCACAGATGAGAAAGCTAAAGTAGGTTTGTAACAGTGGGGAACTGTAACCCACTCCACAGTTCTTTTGATGTTTCTGTAAATGCTGACTCTGACTTTCAGCTTGTAGATAAATAGCATGTTTGTATAAGAATCCTAGGAACTAACTTCAAAAGATATGGACTCCAAACTTCAAGCATCCCAGCTCTAGGAGATTTGCTGACCTTCATCCATGAAGCCAGGATGACTAACCCAGGATGACGCATAACGGACCATCACTTGCCTTTTCGGAATGGACTATGCTGGTCTTCACACAGAGAATTTTTCAACCCCCTCCACTTGATCTTTGTCCGGCTTCCCCTCTCCCTCCTTATAAAAACTTCTGCCTGCATGGGGTATGAAGATGGGCTTTGAGATAACAGTCCCTATCTTCCAGGTTGCCAGCACCTAAAAATAAAACTACTTTCCTTTACATAAGCACTGGTCTCTCCAGCATTGGCTTTCAAAGTGGCAGGCAGCCAGAGCTGCATTCGGTTACAGGTTGGCATGAAGTATTTCTCAAAACCACCTGCCAGTCATTAAGCACCTACTGTGTCAAGCATGTTACATAATCCCCACTCCTTTGCTAATTCTTCACAGAAGGTGTTAGCAGAGCATTTCTCTGATAAGACTGAAGGCTGAGAGACCTGAGTAACTCACAGAAGGTCTCAGTGCAGCAGAACAAAATCTGAACTGAGGTCTGGCTTCCAAGGCTCCTTGAAGCTGCTTTGGCCACTAAAACAATGTGTGTGCCTTTTGGTGAAGGAAATAGTGATAATACCAGTCATGCTAATTTAACTGTTGTCATGAAAATCAAATCATATTTTAGATATGGAATACCATGATGCTAATGCCACAAAGTTAATATACTTAACTCCAAATTAGGACATCCAAACACCTGCCGCAGCTCAGTTCTACACTCGGTTCAATTTTGGACAAGTCATTTAATCTTCAGACCTGCTTCCTCAGCACTAGAATGAAAGAATAGGGCTGAGTAACTTTTAAGTTTCTGCCCTGCTCTCAAATTCATCTTCTAGATAAAGCATCATATACTTAAGAAAAATTATAAAACACTCCTCAACTTTATCTTGTCTGTTTGATTTAGCATCTCATTTATTTCCCAATTCTCTTTCAAGGTTTATCTTTTGGCATCCTAATATGTTCACATTTTTTTAATACACTGCAGTAATTTCCAATAAAACAATTCATGATAGAAGATGAAAAGCGCAAACCTTTAGAACTGTGTGCAAGTTTAAGTTTTAAACGTGCAAAATATTTGAGGATGTGTATCTTCTTCAAAAAGATAAAAGAATTAGTAGAAAAGATTTTTCAGTAAATTAATTAGGTCATAATCAACACTACTAGATTTTAAAACTAAACCTGTTACTTCATTGTTGTTACAAGTGCAATGAAAATGTACTTGAATGTCAGTCTTGCTACGTCCTCAAATTATACCATGCCTCAGTCACCTCATCTTAAAAAATAAGCATTCTACAACTATTTATTTCATAGAGCTGTTCTGAGGAATGAAAAAGATCTATATAAAATGCAGTACCTGGGACACAGTAAATGTCTAACAAACATGTGGTTGTTGCCACCGTCGTCCTGTCAGTTATTTTCACACGTGAGCAGGTTCAGAGCATTATTTTCAGGGAACAAATACCTGAGTGCCTACTCTCCTAGGCACTGGGAATTAAAGCCCGTGGCCTTGCAGCAAATTAAAGGAGGATTAGGAAACAAATGGTGTAACAGGTTAAAAAAAGAAAATGTAACCAGGTTCAAATACGACAAAACGCCATATTTAGGTTAACGTTTGTCTTCTCTGCCTTTTGCCCGCGAGACTGTCCTTAGAATCCGTTTTGGCGTCTTCAGTTGGACGTCACAAGAAACGCGACCAATCGTGCCCGGTCCCGTAAACCATGCTTTCTCCACTCTTCCCGCCAGACATGAAATGCCACCGGTTTCCTCGGCTGACACCCTTTCATTTCTTTCGCCCGGAGGAGTATGTCCCGAGGGCCAGTCCAGCCCCGCCCCACGTCGTGCGAACAGGATCGCAGCGCGGCTCCCCTACAGTGACGACACACTTGAGTCCCCGTCCAAACGTCACTTCCCGAACTCTTCGCGGAGCCTTGTGGGTAGCCTGCCGGGGTCTCCTGGCGACGACCATGGCGGGCGATGTGGGCGGTCGCAGCTTCACGGATTCGGAGCTGCTGCTGCACCCGGAGCTGCTCTCCCAGGAGTTCCTTCTCCTCACGCTGGAGCAGGTCGGGCCGCCTGGGCGGGTGGGCCTGGTTGGAAGAGGTGCAGGGGTCGAAGTCGGCCCCAAGTATCATCTGGAGGCGGACACACCCGCCGCCGTCGCTCCTCCCGTCCGGTTTCTGCGACTCTTCGCGCAGACCGACCTTGTTCCCCCACGCCCCCATTCGGAAAAGAGATGTCCTTAGCTTATCAGGAATTCTTGGGAATTAATAGTCATCTTTTCGGGTTGTGGATGGCTCGCAAAGAGGAGTCTAGCAGACCCCCGCGGCCTGTGTGCAAGCAAGGGCCCGAGGAAGAGAGGTACTGGGGAAGAATCATAGAAGAACGGAAATGAAGGGCAGTCATCAGGAACTGTCAGGGCTGGAAAGCATCGGAGAAATCCACACTTTCACCTCGATTAAAGATGAGGAAACTGAGTCCCAGAGAGGTGAAGTGCCTTATTAAAGGTCACCCCATCGGTAAATGCGGTAACTGATGGCAGCCAGGAGGAGAATTCGGGGTTCCGGGCTCTGTAGCGTTTGCTCTTTTTCAGCTATTGTGGCCTCTGATAGTAGACGAAAAAAAAGTAAAAAACTGGTCAATTGTGTTTAAAGTAGTAGAGAATTACTGACCATTTCCTTGGGGTTATATGTAGCACGTTTTGGTTTTCTAGTGTTTTCTTTCAGTATTGTACTCTGTCTAATTTCATCAGGCCCCGCTCAGTCGATTACTTTAATGATGTCAGTTACCTTTCGCCTTTGTATCTCAAACTTTTTAGGTACAGCAGAGTCACCCAGGGCTTCTTAAAACATATTGCTTGCTGGGCTTCATCCCCAAACGACCGTTCAGTAGGTATGGGGTGTAGCTTGAAAATCTGCATTTTTAACAAGTTCATGCTGCTAGTTCAGCTACCTCTGCCCTTGAGTAGTGCTTCCCAAGCTAACCTGCCAGTGAATTCTCTGAGAATGTCTAAGAGAACTTCCAGGGTTTCCACATATCTCTGAGTGAGTACAGGGTGAAAGTTGATAATACAGGATCATCTCCTATAGGAGAGAAACATTGTACAATTTGTACTTTTAAGTTTTGAAAGGAAAAAGGGAGTGGGGGAAGTTTATCATAGATTGTATTTGTTTTATCAGTTCTACTAAACACAAATGTTTCCAAGCCTTTCAGAATTGCAGTCCAGGACCCATACTCTCATTTCCCTTCATAAATCCAAACTCTGTATCTGTAGAGTTAGCCCTGTGCCTCATGCTGTAGTTTTTCATGATGCTGAGAACAGAGTGGAAAATGAGGGAGCATGAGGTGATTTAGATGGGGAGGGCAGTGACTGGAAGCTACTGAAGACAGGAGGGACAGGTTTTAATGATGTACTGTTATCGGTACCATCATCCGTAAGGCAACTGCATTTCCATGCACAGGGCCATTTGAAATCTTGGTATTTATATTTAAGAAGCAGTATTAAAGAAACATGAGATATAATATACAGGGTTAGGCCTCCCACCCACTAATCTGATCATGGTATTACTACTCTGATAACATTTTTTGACATAATATAATCATTATCATTGTTTTCTTTTGTCCGGTTTCTCTAGGCAGTTACTCCTTTTCAGTTCCCTTCATTGATTAGGATGATGCTAATGAAAATGCTCTCATTGCCTGATCTGTTGGCCGAACATGTGTGGACAACAGCCCTTGTCCAACCAACCATTGTCTTTAAGATGAGGCTGAACCTAATATTTACAGAGCTTAATCCATTTATTATACTGCTTTTTCAGTGTTATATAGGACCCTTAAGCACATGTCTAATTGTGACAGTGGTTTTGTAACTTGTTATTTAAGCAGCAGTGTTTTGCCCTGTTAGGTAGGTAGTTGGTTGTGTTAAAAAAAAGGATGTTGTTTTGAAATTACTTTTGTTTCCTTTTCCACAGAAGAACATAGCTGTTGAAAATGACATAAGAATAAACAAAGATAATCTTACTGATCTTTATGTTCAGCATGCAATACCATTGCCTCAGAGAAATTTGCCAAAGAATAGATGGGGGAAAATGATGGAAAAGAAAAGAGAACAACATGAGCTAAAAAATGAGACTAAAAGGTACTTTTTAGTGGTTCTTGTTTTTATCTTATATAAATAATTTTTGCTTTTATCTTTTTCTCCCAGGTACATTTAGGTTAAAAAATTTTCATTTATTCAACAACTTATATATTGAGCACCAGGCACTGTATGTATACCATGAAGAAAACTGACAAAATTCTCTGCTGATATTTTAATTGGAAAAACCATAATATAAAAGTTAAGTAAAGTATATGGTATGTTACATGGTGATAGATGCTAAGGAGAAAGGAAAGCAGTGATAGTGACTATAGTTTTAGGGAAATTGGCCAGAGACAACCTCACTGAGAAATACCATTTCAACAGAGAGACCTAGAAAGTAGAGAGCAAGCTATTGTAGCATTCCAGGCAGAATACAAGAATTGGGGTCAGAGTGTGCCCACCGTATCACCACCAACAAAGAGCCCACCAGGGCGAGAGAGGAGAGACTCAAAGAAGAGCAGAGGGAAGAGGTTAATTGGGGATGAATGGAGATTGTCAGATCACGTAGAGCTTTGTAAGTCATTTTGAGAACTTTGGCTTTACTGTTGAGATGAGTAGACACTGGAGGATTTTGAGCAGAGTGATGACACCATCTGATGTACATTTTAACAGGATCATGCTGGCTGCTGTGCTGAGAAGTGATTTAAGGTGGGGGAGGGGAAACAGGAAACCAATCAGGAGACTGCAGTAATCCAGAGAATAGTTGGTAGTGACTTAGACTGAGGTAGTAGTGGACTTGGTAAGAAGTGGTTGGAGTTTGGATGTATTTTTAAGGGTAAAGCCAACAGCATATGCTGAATTGTGAGGAAAAAAATGGAATTAAGTAAAACTCTTAAGGGCTTTGAATAATATATCAATGAAGAGACTCATTTGTTTATAAAACAACAAGCAAATGAAGTTCCCCTTTCAAGCTACATTTGACTGATCAGTGTAGTTAGTTAACGAGGACAGAGTATCCAAAGACCCTTAAGAGGGCTAGTTATTTCTTTTCCTTTGTCTCTTTTATTGCAAGTGGTGCTATTGATTAATTGCTAAATTTCCTGAGTAAGGTACTAGGGCAGTGCACTAGAGACAGTAGAAGAAGATGGTGTGAGAGGGCAGGAGTGAAGGGGATTGCTAATTTTGAGTTAATTACTGGCTTTAATCTCTAGTTACAGAGAACGAAGGAAAATTCATGATAGGTAGGGAGATTATTTCCCAAGGAGTAGAGTAGTTGAAGAATGCAACATGTATGCTCATAATTTTTTGAAAAGTAAATAAATGTACAGTATCACTTTTGGACACATTCAGTTCAGATTGAGTATTATTTTAGCTTGATGTTGCATATTGGTACTGTGTTAATTTCCTAAATCTATGGATTATGCTGTATGTATCTTTAATTTACTTTTGTTGACTCTTACTACGAAAGTATTTTCTTTTTATCTGTATATTCAGGTACATTGTCCTAAGCAGAGCTTTCAGTCCTGTTATACTTTACTTCATATGACAATACCTTTTTTTAGGCCGTTTTGAAAGGATCTTTGGCTCTATTTTTAAAAATGACAATTTGATTCTTGTATCAGAGTATTAAAGCTGGAAGATTGTTAAGAGTTCAGCAGGTGTTGTTGAATTGCTCATTATTTTATCTCTAAAGGAATTGAGCTCTGGAGAAATATTGTGACATGTCCTAGATTACAGAGAGCTAGGACCAGATCTTTATTCAAACTTGGATGTGCCTCTTGAATCTTAGATTGAACTCCCACACGCAGATGCATCCTACTGACAGTCCTTCTGTTTCCCTTCTGCAATGGCAGTGAGTGTATAGTGAGCTTACTTTTCATCTTTACCAAATGATTGTCCGTGGCAACTCAAAAGTTGGTGAGGTTGGCCAGTCACCTGGGATCTGATTAAAAGGCAGACTCTGAATTTTTTACAAGGTCCGAAGGTGCTGCTGATGCTGCTGGTCTCTGGAGCACACTTTGAGTAGGAACACTGAAGTGTTCTTCCTCCTGAAGTTCTTTTGACATGTTTAATTAAAAGGTTTTTAAGTAAATCTCTTGTTTGACTTGAAGTATAATTTGTAATGAACAAATGAATGCTTTTATTATCTTTAGGATTAGGAGTAGAAATTAGATGTTCTGAAGCTAGATCTGAAGACTTGCTAAATTTTAAAATTAAAATTATACAAATGTTACAGTTAGTTTAGAAAATGCCAGTCCAATTAAAAAATTTGGGCAGATGACCTGAACAGAGACACTTCTCCCTAGAAGACATACAAATGGCTATCAGATAAGTGAAAAAATGTTCAACTTCATTAGCTATAAGGGAAATGCAAATCAAAACCACCAGATAGCACCTCACACTTGTTAGAATGGTTATTATCAACAAGACAGGTAATGACAAGTGTTGGAAAGGTTGTGAAGAAAAAGGAACCCTCATTCACTGCTGTTGGCAGTGTAAACTGGTACAATCACCGTGGAAAACAGTATGGCAGTTCCTCAAAAAACTAAAAATAGAGTTACCATATGACCCAGCAATCCCTCTTCTGGGTATCTACCCAAAAAACTTGAAAACATTTATTCACAAAGATATATGCACCCTTATGTTCATTGCAGCATTATTCATGGTGACCAAGACATGGAGACCACCAAAGTGTCCTTTGATATAGAGTATTGGATGAAGAAGATAGGGTACATATATTCTATGGAATACATCTCAGCCATAAGAAAAGATGAAACTGCCATTTGTGATAGCATGGATGAACCTTGGGAATATCATGTTAATGAAATAAGTCTGAAAAAGCTAAGAACTATATGATTTCACTCATGTGGGATATAAAACTGAAACTCAAGAGACACAGACAGACAACAGGATGGTGACTACCAGAGAGAAGTGGGTAGGGGAGTCAAATGGATGGGGACAGGATGATTTGACTTTGGTGGTGGTAGGAGTATACAGACCATGTGTCATGGTGATATATATACACTTGAAACCAAATGACCTTGTTAAACAGTGTCACCTCAATTTTATATTATTTTTTTTAAAAAAGGAAAATGTCTTGGTTTCAGAGACTTTAATGAATGGAATAGAATGTTCTGTATCATTGTACATAGACTGCCACTTTGGTAGTCTTGGTATAGTTTTGTTGTTTAATATTTCATCTGTCAATGCCGCAGGCCCTATACTAAACTCTGTGAATGACATGTTAAAAATTGTCATGATCTGTGCCTTCAGGTGGCCTTCATGGACCACAGCAGGTGCTGTTAAGTCTTTATGTACATGGGAAGGATGGCAAGCTTGGGATGGACAGTGGATACACTGCAGAGATAGAGAGCGCTGCGGTGGGAATGGGCGGCTTCCAGTGCCCTGTTCTGGAATCAGAGACTAGCAAGGTCTCAGTGGGTATTGGAATAGTTTTGTAATTTATTAGGCTTTCAAAATAATAATACATAATCAAAATAACTTTATTAATAAGATGGTGATTTTTAAAAATTAAAAAAATTTTTTTCATTAATAGGAAATTGTTTTAAGTTCTAGGGTTAGTTGGTAGATTGATGTTTTAAAAATAACTCTTGTGCATATAATTAAGCTACCTTTAAATTTCATGTCAATAAATCACTAGAGAATTATTTTACTTAGATTTCTCTATCAATAAGGTTTTTTTGGTAATTGTTTGCTTTAACTTAGTATTCTAGTGACTGCTTTGCCATTCCAGATGGTATTTTTCACTAACGGCCTCTCTTTGATTTCAGGAGTAGCGCTGTAGATGTGTTAAAGAAAAGACCCCTCATTGTGTTTGATGGAAATTCAACAAGTACAAGCATAAAAGTGAAAAAGACAGACAATGGAGATAATGATCGACTCAAGCCTCCCCCTCAGGCAAGCTTTACCAGTAATGCCTTTCGAAAATTATCAGATTCCTCTTCAAGTCCTTCAACCCTTATCTTGTCTTCGGATTTGCCTATGAACAATAAAATGGAACACAGTCATAATGACACTAAACAGAACCATGACTTAACACATAGGAAAAGCCCTTTGGGTCCTGTGAAGTTGCTGCCTTTGTCCCCCGTGGGAACCACTCCTGTGAAGTTAAAGCGAGCTGCTCCTAAAGAAGAAGCTGAGGCTGTGGTGAGTGTGGGACAGTTTCCATGCTCCTAAGAAATGGAAGTGATATCACTGAGCAGTCAGCTGTGCTACAAGCTGTTCTACCCTCACGTGATCTGTCCTATTTTTACATCTCATTTCTCATGTGTTTGAACCATAGAATATTAAAATCCATGATGATAAACTAATGCTTTTTTTAAAAGTATAGTTTTTTTCCTGCTTAAAATGTGTAAAGAGAAAAAGTTTCTTAGACACTTCAACTAGATTTTCCTCGTTCAGATCCTTTCAGTATCTTGGAGCTAAAAGAAAGACATTCTTTTGTTAGCAAGACTCAGCATGTTAAGTAATTTGTGCAGGGTCACACATTTAAGTGGCATTGTAGAACCTGATCTTTGTTTGGCGCTTCCTTAAAACCACACTAGAGTCTTTAGGATTTACCACTTGTTTCCCCTGCCCCTCAAATATTTCTACACTTGGAGGTATAGAGGCAGTTCAGGGGAATCTACTATGTTGTGTTCTACTATACTTAAGCATTTGGATGCTTGGATTTTATATGTTGGCAAATTTGATACAGTTACACAATTTATTTAGAATTTAATTATGATATTATATAAATATCCAGCAGTTTTATAGACTTTATTCCTTGTTTAAGTCCTTTCAGACTGCTCTAACACAAAGTACCATTGATGGCTCAAGCAACAAATATATATTTCTTACAGTCCTGGAGGCTGGAAAGTTTAAAGCACTGGCAGATTCAGTATCTGGTGAGGACTTACCTCCTGGTTCTTAGCTGTCTTTTACTGTGTCCTCACCTGGCAGGAGCTAGGGAGTCCTCTGGGGGCTCTTTTATAAGAGCTCTAATCCCATTCATAAGGGCTCCACCCTCATGACCTAATAACTGTAAAGGCCTCACCTCCAAATATCACTTTGAGGGTTAGGTTTCAACATTTGACTTTTGAGAGAACACAAACATTCAACCCTGCACATTTCTGTAGTATACTCTTTGGCTTTATTATCTTCCAGTTATGTGTCAAAGGGATCAAAACTCAGGGTAGTTCAAACATTTTAAAATAGTAGGCCCTGGAAAAAGAAAGCTACTGTGTATAGGACCAATCCTAAGTTCTTATATTAGTTTGTTGAATCCTTTTAGCAATCCTGTGAAGTAGGCACAATAGTTATTCTCATTTCACAGATGAGAAAACAGAAGCTTAGACAATTTAAATAAACGTCCAGGATTCCTGAGTTAATAAGCGGCCAAATTGCAGTTGGAATTCAGGTCTGTTTGGCTCCAGAACATGCACTTCTTATGACACCATGCTCCCTCCACACTTACTTCAGCCACCTTTGTGGGAAAGAGGAGGAGGGTGTCAGTAGGAGTGGGAAGAAGAATCCACTTCAAATACTACAATATGGAATGGACTTCAAGGATTTTTTTTTTTTTTCAGTCTCTGAGAAAACATTTTTTTACTCCGGAAATCATTACTCTCAGAGGCTTGATTTTTTTTTTTCTTAAGCAATCTTTTCTCGTGTTAAGATCTTGGATTGTGATTGAGGGAGAACATGGCAGGGAGGAAATAGTGGATCCCCTGAAGGAGCTTCCAGAAAAATTAAACAAACATTAGCACCTCATCCCTGCAGTCTATGGATTCTAATCTAATTGGTTCTGAGGTAAGACTCCGGTCTGGACATCTTTGTAAGTGCCCTGGGTGATTCTAGTACGCAAATGTTTGAGAACCACAGCTAGAAAAATGGTAGCTAATCTCCTAAAATCTTTTCCCACCTGATGGCAGCAGCGATCTACCATTTATATGTCAGTATTCAACCCTGGTGGTTTAAAATGTTCATTTCAGTTATTCTCTAACATATTACTGTTTATGTCTTTTCAGAATAGCCTGAAGCCCCCAGAAGCAAAAAGGAAGATACAACACGTTACATGGCCATGAAGGAATGTTTCCAAAAATGTAAATATAACTGTAGCTGTAGTTTTCAAACAAGTTCTCATATATTGACAGTATTTGCAGAGATCTTGATTATTTTGAAATTTTCTTAAGAGGTTTAAAATTAGGTCCAGAAAAATAGTCTTTCCGTTCCCTCTCTCCCTGCCTGCCTTCTTTTAAAAGAAAAGAAAATTGCCTTTTATTCCCTGATGAGGAAAGAATTTCTTTTTAAATGAATGGCTTAGTATAAGTCATTCATATTGACCTTAGTTAAATCAGTAAACTACAAGTCTGGTATAAAGCATCGATGAATTTTAGGAATTATTCTCATTAGTCTCTTTCAATGTTTGGAGAACTTTGAAATTTTTTTAAAAACTCAAATATTTCAGAAGTTAACAATTTTTGTTTCCTTTCCCAAGCAAAAGAATATAGCAGTTCATCACAGCGTTTTAGTAAATACTGCCAGATTCATCCTCAAGGTTCACCAATGAAAGTATATTTTCAGTGCTGCTAATAAACTACTCAGAACATACAAATAAAACTGCTATTCTTTAAGTGCTTGCTATTGCTCCCTTCCTTGAAGTCAGGACAGAACTGACTTCTTACGGGCTGACTAATCAATGTCACCCCAGGTCCACCCTTAGAACATTCTTGTCATGCAGCAGCCCTGCCTCCTCCTCTACATGAGCAGTCTGATCTCATTCTGTGAGCTCATGCATCCCTCCCTCCTAGGATCTCAATGAGGCTGACTAAAAATCTTCAAGTATAGCAATCACGTTAGAGGTGGTATCTGTTGGCAGAAAGTTTAGTGAACAGGAAGAAGGGGGTGAAATTCTAGAATGTAAGAGGAAAGGAAGTGTGGCATTGAAGGGAGAAAATTCAGTGTGATCCAGAATAGGCAAGGAGAGGAGGAGGAGAAGGTACTAAAGTCAGAAGTCAGTGCAGCAGTTGGCGATGGTCCTTGCTGGTTTAACATGGACAGCTTTTCACAGGGCTGTCAAACAAACATACCTAGTAAGGTTTTGTGTTTGTGTTAAAGTAGTAGTATTCCAACTGCGTAGTTGAAGTCACTGGGAATATAGGGTTAAATCTTATATTTGTGAGTTGTAGTGTCCACTTTTCTGCTGTGTTTCTAACCAAGTACAAGAGTACTTTATACTTTTTCCCTTACGATTGTCCTTCAAATTGGGGTTTGTCTTTTCTGTGCTTTTTGAGCAATCTCATTCCTATTTATATTTGTTAAAACAAGCATTTTAGTTCAGCTATTGAATAACCTTACAAAAAAAATAATTCAGCCTTGCAGGTTAAGTACTGTACTAAAACTTTAACCCTGCAGGTTTTAGTCATTCTGACTTCAGCCAGACTCTAAATCTGTACACATAAAAAAAAAAAAAAGAAAGAAAGGATACATACTAAGTGTTATGTAGATTGCTAAAGTTATGGTAAATTGTTAAACATATAGTTATCTGCAGGGCTGATATATATAATATTGTTGAAGGACAGTGTATTCCTATATATAACTATGTTGAGAGAAATTTTGAGAAGTGCAGATTTTAGGGTAGAGTCACAAATTCTATTTTATAGTCAGTTGTCCCTTTCGTTTTCATCCACATTTCTCTCAGTTAAGAGAGAATTGTCCATTTGATAGTTTTAAGTCAGTAGAAACTTATTTTCAGTTCCTCAAAATTAATTTTTAATTTGTATATTTAATTTACAAAGTAGGTTGGTGATAACAGCTGAACTGTGTAACATTGTTGCTTCAAATTGAAGTTTATATTATGAACATTCAGAGTCAATGCTCATACAGCAGCATATTCCTGAGCTATTTTGAGTTTGAAATGTGAAGAAGAGCTAAACGATGTTCTGTGTACATATACCAACATCTTAGAGCACTGTGCCTTCTCAAGGGACAGAGATACAGCTTGTCTTCAGTGTCTTTTTCCTCATACTGAAGGCTGCTGAATGATGGAGATCTGAAGCAGAAATGTTGGGAATCTCATATTTGGAAATGTTGCTTTGGTAAGCTTTGAAGTTGAGAAGGGCTTGATTGAAATGGCTAACAACTTCAAAATCCTTTATACCTATTAACATGGTTTACTATTGTTGCTCTTGATTCTATATTCCAATAAAGCCAGTTTTTTTATTGGGTTAGGAAAGTGAATGTCACTCGAGTCAGTGAGTGGCTTCTAAGGTACAGTTACAGGCACTTTATCACTTCCTGCCATTGGCATGTGGTCTTATTTTTCCTTTCCCCTCTTTGTCCCTCTTTTTCCTTTTCCTTTCCCATATTTTCACATTCTTTGCTTTCATCTCCTTCCTCCTTTCTATAGATCCTAAGCTTCAGGCTTAGGTTTACAAGTCATATTGCTTGGCTCTGCTCCTTCACTGGGGGTAAAGATAGGCTGACTTCCAGTCCTCTTACATATGAGGGGTCATAGACTGCTTGTTACATGAGTCCTGGAGAGTCTCAATGTTGTGCGGCACCAGGGCACAAAATTGCTTCCCAATGGCTGTAAAGTCTGTGCGGTTTTCCAAAATAGTTTTGTTAATCTAGACAGCATCCAGGCACTTTGGAAAGTTGGTCCAACTACTACAGGCCATAATATTTTTGCTAATATTAAAATTCCTTAGAATTGTAATTATTATTTGAAATAATATTTTGGTTGACTTAAGTTTTCAAAGATGATACTAAAACTGATGTAGAGACTCATTCAATAGTAGTGACCTTTTAAACTTAAACATTAAGTGAAACTGCCAGTAGATTAAATAACATGTATGTAAGAGCTTCCTCTGCTCACTACTGTGCAACTTCAGTGATTTTTAGAGGCTACAAAATGATCATAATGTTTTTTAAGTGTGCTGTTTTATTAAATGCTTGTTCAGATTTTGTAATTCAGTACAGAAAGTTTAACCTTGCAATGTACATTTTTTTGTATGTAAAAAGTCTTTTAAGTAGCCGTATCCTTATTTAAATAAACTGAATAAAATTGAGTAGGTCTGTCATTCTTAAAAAAAAATAAAATGGAAAAATACTCTGTAATGACTTGCTCTCTTTTTATTTGAGTAAACTATATTGAAAGATGTCATTTTTTTAATAGTAAAACCTCCTGTACCCAGATTGATGGTGCTCAGGAGTGATTCCAATAATCCACCCACTTCCTGCTTTAGAGGGGTGCTTGGCTAGAGTGGCCTGGTTTCCAGGACACCCTGATGCTACAAAGGCTGACATATTTACTGCCACTACACTTGGAGGGATAGAAACAAGTCCGTGAACTTCATCTCTTGTAAGCTTTCTTAACTGGGCGAAACCAGAGATTCAATTGAGGGCTTATTTGTGTTCAGGCAATCTTAAGAGTTAATTTCTAAACTGGCATATTAATATTGGATAGTGAAGCTCCAAATTAACTAACTTGGAAAAGCCTCAGGTAACCTCTTCCTTGAACTTAAAAAGTAGATCCTTGATTTTTTTTGTCTGGACTAAAGAGACCAAAAAATCTTATTTCCATTTACATATTTACTAAGGTGGTTTTTTCCTAACTGAAGTGCTCTGCTCTATTAATTATCGTTATACTTGATTGTCTTCTGTGTTGTGGTAGAAAAAAATAACGGTGTGAATTAACTTCCTGCTCCTAAAGAGAAGACAGGCAAGTGAACAACCAATAATGGATAATTGTAATGAGAGGAAGAAAATCAAGCTTAATCATGAAATAGGGATGCAGAAGGTGGGGTGAGAGATTACTTTAAACATAATGGTTGGGAAAGGCCTCTTTGAAAATTTATGCGGCAACAGCTCTGAAAGCTTTAAGGAAAAGCATCCTACATGTGGTACATTGTGATCAAGCAAGTGCTCATGCTGTCACACTTGGACACCTGCTGCAGCCAGGAGAGGAAAATGTTTGCTAGAAAAATATGTCCCCGCTGACAACATCCATCCCCAGACTAGCTGTAGGTGACCAATTGCATGGAAGTCCGGGGCAGACCAGCCTGGACAGCTGACTCACAGAGTCATTGTGAATAGAGTAGAGTAGGGGTTTATTAAGCCACTAAGTGTTGGGGATGATTTGCTACCCAGAGCTAGAAAATAGACATCAGACTTGAAAGTGAAATTAAAACCCCCAAGTTTTAATAGGTTTTTAGAACAAAAAGACTGGTGTGGCTCAAAACAGTGAAACTAGTTGGGGAGGGTAGTATAAAATGAAGTTGAAGGCAGGCAGAAGCCAGATTATGGAGAATCTTAGGTGGGCCATGTTAAGGACTTTGTATTTGGTTCCAAGTGAAATTGGAAGTTGTTTGTCAGCAGTATTCAGACTTAACCAAACAGTCAGTTGAATCTAAAGATAGAAACAAGACTAGTTAATTAAGTGTATAGTAGTAAAATTATTACCTCTAGTAAAATATACTAGGTGTCTTGTTTTTTAGGCTTTGGATAAATTGTCAGGACTAAAATATATTTCATTTCATTTTATTTTTTTCCATTATAAAATATATTTCTTTGACTAATAATTAAACCTTAGGAGACTATAAAATATCAGTTAGATGAAAGATAGTTTTATAAATATAAAAACACCAAATCGAGTTAAGCATTGTTATATTTATTCTGCCCCGCTACATAATTTTTTAAAATAAACTTTTAAAATACAAACCTTGTAGAAATTTAGATTTATAGAAATACTGCCAAGGCAGTGCCAAGTGTTTCCTTACTTTCCCCCATTACTGATTTATATTAATGTCGTGCCTTTGTTTAAATGAATCAATATTGATATGTTATTGTTATCTAAAGTCTATAACTTTATTCAGATTTTCTTAGTTTTTACCTAATGTCCTTTTTCTGTCCCCAGAATACCACCTTACCTTTAGTCTTCATAATAACTTAGTAAACTTATCTGGGCTGTGACGTTTTCTCAGACTCTTCTTAAATTTCTCATAATCTTGACACTTTCAGAGCATATTGGTTAGTTTTTTTGTAGAATGTCCCTCAACTACTTTCCGTCACCCTATGCTGGAATTGTTCTTTACTATAGATA